CCCCAAAACCCCAAAACCCCAAAACCCCATAAAGAAATTTCAGAGAGTAATAAAAATAATAGAAAATATGAACTCAAGCATTAAGTAATTAATGTATTTCAGCACAAATAACAGTGATGAAAAATAGACTAAGCAAGTAAAAAAGGTTATAGAAGTAAAAAGACTCAGACCATGGGTTAAATTAACATCAATATCTCTTATAAGTATTACAACGTTCATTTTAGTACGAGCATTCATTTATACTCCAAAGCCGTATATCATTTAATTCGACATTAAAAAGATCAAGGAATAGAATGAAAAATGATAAAAATCATGTCTTTTATGGTTTATGAACTAGTTGAATGAAGTTAAGTTTATTAAAGTTTTAAGAATTAAGCTTTTATTGATAATCAATTATAAATGGTATAATTTTCAATAATAATTCATTTATATATATAGGTGAATTATCAAGGCTAAAAGAACTTAGCTCAATTGAACTGAGCCTTTACATAGAGATGATCAAGAAATTCTGAGAAGGAATGGAAGTCTTTCATCCAATTTTTGACATTCTTAGCTTTTACCTCAGCATATCTTTTAAGAATATCATCTTTAAATTGTTCAGGATTCTGTAGAGAGTTTAAATCATTGTTTTTCTCAAGTAAAAGATCCACACAAGCAATGATGATGCTCCTGCATTCATCATACATTTCATTGTAAAACCCAAAATAGAATCTTTAATGTAGCTGCTTAATTTACTCAGTGATTTCCTTCTATCTCTCTAAGTTCTTAAGGTCAGCATCAGTCATTTTAGCAAGCTATTACTTCTAAGTTCTTTCCACTTTTTACTATATAGTCTCTTCATTATTGTGAAAAGACTAATATCCTTGTGAACTCTCATGCTCTTGCTCATAATCTTGATAGTCTCTTGAAGAATATTGCTTTTTCTTTGGTATAATCTTCTTAAAAGAATTTTACAGATCTTTATGCTTCTTATCAAGGTAACTCCATGAACTAGGATAGCACACTTGCTTTTGCCAATATTAATCCTTTTTTTAACTTTTTTTAGTATAGGTATTTGATTTAGGTGTGGTCACCTGTTCATTTTAGGGTTAAGGGGAGTCATAGTTGAATTAATGCTCTTTAATGAATATTTTACAGTCTTTAATGCTGATCTGCTCCATTTTGATGAGCTTATAAGCATCCTCAGGATCTTTAAAACTTATGTGGCATTTGTTTTGATACTTGTTCGAATTTTTAATAAAATTGCATTAATTAAGTACTCCATATTGTGAAAGATCTTCTCTTAATTCATCAATTGTGATTGAAAGTGGAATATTAGATAATTCCAATACTAATAAATTCATTTTCTAAAAATTTTGTGCCAATTATTCTTTTTCATTCTTTATGTTTTGTTGGTGTAATTAAATCAATGGGCAATCCTTTATTTATTAAATTACTAGAGTTTAGCCTGTTAATGGTTTTTAAATTGCTTAATCAATGACATATTATGCAGCATTCTCATTTTTAAAAGAGAGTAGAGATACTTAATTATCAGCTAGCTTCATAAATTTATAGCCAACAATTTCACTAAAGCTACTGATATAGTCTATAAGTACATCTTCCGAAAGATAAGTATCAAAATTACTAACCACAAGTACATTGGCTCTAAATTTTTCATTATTGAGGGTTTAGTTTAGTTCTTATTCCTATATTTTAGTTAATCTGGGAACATAAGGCTCAATGTCAAATGGGAAACCCATATTTTAAGAATCTTCCAAGACCTTAGCTGCACTGTCTGGATTTTTGAACCAAATGAATCCATATCCTTTTGATTGATGAGTTTAGGGATCAAGAGATACTTTAGCACTCTTGATTTCTCCATAGTCCTTAAATATTTCATAAAGATCTTTTGTTGTCCAAGATTTGTCAATCCTTTTGAGGAAAAGATTTACTGAGACAGAACTGTTATCAGGTGTTGGAAGTTGAGCATCATCCTTAGTATTTATATTTAAATGGGTAACCTCTGGCTAGATTAATATCTTGTAATCGAAATCATTAGGATCATAAAGTTTGTCACTTATAACTTGCTTTCTTTTGATTCTTCGACTTAAAGCATCGTCAAATGGAAGGATTCTAGCCTCTTTGTTGTCTCTTAGTTTGAATGTCATGTGATTCTCCAAAGCCATATGAAAGTGAGCCTCAGAATCAAACTTGACCATAGCTGAAAGAAATGGTTTTGAATTAGAATGCCTGTTTATTTGCACATTGCAAGAATATCCCAGATCTACAAGTATCTTAGTGATTTCAATTGAAGTGTAGCCGTCAGCCTTAGGTATATCATAGATGAATGCTAGTAGCTTTGGCTTCTTAATGGATGGTAAAGGTTTAGTTTCTTGGTCGTGAATTTCCATAGAAGTTTGGTTAAAAGTAGGCCTTACTGAAAGTTGCTCTGAAATAGTTGATTACATCTAATAATTAATTATAAAATTTCTAGTAATGAAGACTTAAATACTAATTAAATTAGCAAATTTTAAGTTTATAGAGTTCTATATTTCACTTAACTTATTCTCAAATATCTTCAAAAGATACTTATCCGGGGTTTTGGGGTTTTGGGGTTTTGGGG